AAAGAGAGAAACACGGGGGAACGCAAGAACCGTCCGAGCCCAACAAATTGGCATTACGGCACACGTTACTGGATGTACCGTTACTGTCTCAGTTCCTTTTTCGAATCGTATCGCCGGCTGCGTTCTCGCGTGCGCACGATCCAGCAGAACCGGACGTTCCTGCTGCTTAGCCTTTCGATGTTTCGTGATTTTTCCCCACGGGGCGATTTCGTTTTGCTCCTTTTCCAACAGGGAAGAATGGATTTGTCGCTTCGCCGTGCGTGTGTGCTTAGTATACAAGGTGTCCGTGGGAGGACTCGGAGTGCACGTGCTGAACTGAGTGCGGAATAGATGAGCACTTGATAGCTGGTGCATTGGCTGTGAGAGAAAATTTGGAGAGACCTTCTTTTTGATATTTGATAACCGACATGTAGTTTAAGTTAGATTGGAGTAATATGGAACGTACCTTTTTCACTGAGTAGTCACATTTTTTGGAACATTTAGACCCTGAGTTAATTTTTCAAATATATTAGTGTACTGTCAATATTGCTGAATACAGTATAGCAGAGGACACAACAGTGAAAGTAATATAACTGCAAAGTATGTATGACATACTATAAGAAGTTCTACTTGTAGCAAAAGATGACATAACTATTAAAACTATTAGAAAAATGACATAACTATTAACACTGATAACTATGATACGTTCTAACACTAAACATAATTCCTACATCCATAAGTGAGAAATTACTTAAGTTACTTTAAAAACTGAATATTAAGTCCCATGCTTTTAACGTCAAGTTACAAGTGTTATTCTAAACATTTGCATTCAGATCTATGTATATGATACATTTAAACATTTTATCAAAGTTCAAACAACTACCATAATTCTATTCGAAGCACGTAACCATGCACTGCTTAACATAATGCAATCGAGCCGCCATATCAAACCATAAACTTCCCCTCTACCACAGCATTGCCGACAGATGGAAAATCCATGGCGGATAACAGAACATTGTCGGACGTAGCGCAAAAACGTATTTTTTGTCCGCTTCCAAAGGGGAACAACCAGTGATTTAATGAATTAACAACGGTCCACCTTGTACAGCCGATACGTTCCGCGATACGATCTATGAATTATGTACTGTTATCGCGTGTAAACCTGTCTCAAAAGTAAGTATAACACGACCAAGGACGCGCCTCGAAACTGGAACGCTCTTTCCCAGTCGTCGCAGGATCCGTTAGGGTAGACCCAGTTCTAGCTAGAAGACTCGATTCTACGTGGAACAACCTCGTGGAGGAAAAATTCATGGCACCATGATTTGAAGCCACGACCAACGACGAAGAGATACAGATCGTTTATGTGATTGCAGATACTTTTCTTTGTACTTT